CGGTATGTACGAACTGCCAAGGTTCGAAGTTCTTTCGCGACTCAGGCACACAGTCACAGTATACTATAACAAGCTACCTCAAAATTTCGACATGGCTACCGGCGTTTCTCTACCAGACGAGTATGTTTTGTTGTTGCAAAATGTTGTAGAGGAGAACAGGCTCCTCAGAGAACAAATGGCTAGTTCAATCGCTAGTAATGAAACTGCTCTGAAGAGCATCAACGACAAAGTGAACGTTATGGCTCGAACAAGTACTGCCAGACGATCGCGAGTAAGACAGACTGGACAAAATAAGCAGAAAGTCCCCAAAGCTTGTAGTGTAAAGTATGGAAACGTTGAGTATGTTTATAAGTTTATTTTCATTTGAAGAAATCAGATAATGCTAATTTATATTCTTATAATTTGACTTTGAATGTTGGGGTATTTGAAATAGATATTTGGCGCCAAAACTTCCATCAGAAATTATATTAAATTGTCACATATTCATAATTATAATTGTCCATCATGGCCACTGTAATAGTATGTTCAAACCTTAAAGTTAAATGTTTGTTCACTGCATGTTTCGCTCGCCACTCTGGTTTAAATAAATGATTTAATACAAAGCCCAGTCGAATTGTAATCAAGACCCAACGTTTCGACACACCAGTCTAGTGTTCTCATCAGGGGTGATCTAAAGATGCAATCGTGTTAGGCACTGTCATCCCTATTCAAAGCATGATTACTAATATTTATATACCACACTTCTAGGCAAAGTCTTTGACCATAGCGATTGTTTGTGGTAATTACTTTAGAGTTTTCCCATGCAATCTTGTGTTTGGTGTTATTGTAACATTCATGTTCTGCTAAAGCTGATTTTCCCTTATCTGAAGTTGAAACAGCCTTTTAATGTTCTTCTAGCTGTGTACCAAAGTGGCATTTAGACTGACCCAAATACTCTTTCTCGCAGTCCCCGCATGGTATAGAATAGACAGCATGAGTTTTCTGATTTGTTTTAACAGGATCTTTTGCCTTTGCGAAAATAATTGGCTTATAAAAGTCAAAACTAAAAACCCTATTTGACTTTAGGCCATATATTTTATAACAAAAAGCTGTTTCAGCTTTAGACAAGGGAAAATCTGCTTTAGCAGAACATGTATGTTACACCAAACACAAAATTGCATGGGGAAAACTCTAAAGTACTGTACAGTAATTACCACAAACAATCGCTATACAGTAAATATGAATAAGGATGACGGTGCCTATTTGCCAGAGGAATACATGCACCTCACTGGCAGGCGACATCATCCCTTGGGTATTTAAGAAGCCACAATTGCTTCTTTTGATCACCCCTGATGAAGACACTAGACTGGAGTGTCGAAACGTTGGGTCTTGATTACAATTTGACTGGCCTTTGTAATCATTTATTTAAACCAGAGTGGTGAGCGAAACATGAGCGATCCTATATCTTGCATAATCTGACTAATATTGATTAGAAACCGAATTAAAACAAATTGAATAAATGCATAAACAATAAAGTTTGTTTTCATTTGTTAGCTGTTGCTACCAAGCCTACCAAATTACAAACAAGTGCCAATGTAAAATATTCTAAGACCTGTTTACCAGGCTGGCCCACTAAGCGAGACAGCTTGGTAAGCGAGATCTCGCTGTGCAGTTATTTTTATAGTAAAAATTATTGTGCATTTATATGCATAAGCGGGCTGGCCTGGTTGACAAGAACTCGCTTGAAAGAGGCGAGATCTCATTTACTGAGATGGAAATTTCTCGATATAAAAACTGAGAAGCGGGCTAGCCCGGTTGCCAAGATGAAAGTTCAACGATACTGCCGCAAGCTATTTTTAACTTGCTATCAAAACAATGTCAAAATAACAAAATTGTTCCGGCACGTGGGACAAAATTTTCCAATATAAACAAGAGGAAATTCATCCCACTTACTAGGCTGTCTCGCTAAGCATGCTAGGCCGGCTTCCATATAAACAGGCCCTATATCTTTCTTGTTCTTTGTGTGGTGTACATGAAATAAGTCTTTACTGGTAGTGACAGCTTAATAACATGACTAGAGGGAAATTATAGCAATTAAATTGCCTGACGCCGAGGGATGATTTGTGAAAACCCGAGGACTTTCACAAATTTTCCTGAGGCAAAGGGCAATTTAATTGCTTTTTTCCTGACTAGTCATGTTATTAGTTTGTAATATTATGATCACTGTGGGTATCGAGTGTAGGCTTGGGCGGTTTTGCTTCAAATCAAAACCGAAAAACCGTCTGATTCTAAACCGGTAAAACCTGAAAACCGGTTTTTTCCCTTTAATTTGTATTTCAACTGAATGAGGAGGAATTGTGGTATTTTTCTGACATGAGCAAACGAACAGAACATGACAAAACGCAAAATTGTGTAAAGGTAACCTAAAACGACTTCAGTTTTAAAATAAAAGGGTCAAGAACGCATTTAAAAACTTACCCGTGTTTAATTAGTGTCATGTTTTGAGAATTAGGATCGAGTTTCGGGCGTTGATAGTAAACAATTTCGTAATGACGGTTTTCCGGTTTTTGTAAAAGCTAAACCGAAAAAACCGGTTTGAAAATAAAACCGAAAAAACCCCGAAAAACCGGTAAACCGCCCAAGCCTAATCGAGTGTACTGTAGGTGTTGATCTGTTTTGAATGCCGTATGATTGTGGGATGAACACTATTCGTATATATGCACACACATATCCCACAATTGACATGCTCAAGATTGCGGAATAAAAAATGGCAAAGTGATTGTTTGTATGTGTATGTGTACGGGACGATGTTGTCAGACACTGTCCATAGTTGTGCCGATTATTTTTGATGAGGTACAGCTCTCCAATGAGAGGTAATGAGGTATTTACCTGGGAAATTTAGTACAAAACAAAATATTTCTTTGTCTTCTAGTTTTCCCTCATCAAGCATGCAGGGGAAAATTACAAGACAAAGAAATTTTTCCCCGCCCTGGAAAATTTAGAAGACAAAAGTGTATGCATGTCTATGACAGAAATTCCCTTTCAGAACAATGAAAATCGAGGTGATCATGGTATTACAATATTAATCCATTAAGGTCCAAGACGTTTCCCTTGACAAGTAGAATTGTCTTGTGTTAGACAGAGTAAATACCAAAGTAGTGCATTGCAAATCGATATACCAAACAGAGTATATAACATATTGTATATCCATGCATTGCATTATAGTACTGTATATACATATTTTAGAGGTATAGTCCTGTTAAATTGATAGTGCATGTTTAGTTTCGGTTGGTACTTGAAAACACGATTACAAATACAGTAACATACATTTAATATTTATTAATTTATTTTTTGTTTTAATACTATAGAATAATCTCCGGAGAAAATCAAGGCACTCAATACTGTCGATGAAAATTTGCACTTTAGATTGAATGAAAGGTACTGTATAGTCACAATCTTATGTGATGTTTATAATATAAAACTTCAAATTTGGGGTTGTGAGTACCTGCTATACTGCAGTTCAGATTATGATTTATAACCTTATCAACTTAATGGTTTTTGTCTGCTTAAAACAGTTCAGGAAAACTGTACGTACGGTACAGTATCTACAGTAGTTAAACTTGTTAAGTTTCATAATCCTGATGACTGTACATTACCATCTATACATACAGTAGTGTACACTATAGAGATTTTGTTGGCATCTCACCCAACTGAAATCATGTTTTGACAGCTTTGTACATACTGTAGATACAGATTTGTAGGTCAAATGTAAAATTTTATATACATATACTAGACCTAATCAGGCATCAAGCTATACATAGTTCTAGTTTTCCACAGCTGCTTCTGTTTAGGTCTAATATATTATAATTATAAAATTTCACACTTGAAAATTCCCCCCTACAAACTCCTTCAACAAATCCTTCATAGAGTTTTCCCTTTATAGCAATTCAGGGTTGTACTTATAGGTCAACCTACCATGATTGTCATGTTATATTTGCAGTGACTCTATTGGTGGATTTAGGGGAAGGGTTACAGGAGTTGTTGGGAAACGGTTGGTATGGGCACCCCTGGAAAATGGCTACTGTAACCCAGAAAATTGAAAAAATGGCTACTGTAACCCAGTTTTACTGTACTTCATTATGTACTGTACGTATGTGCTAATATCAATCTTGCTTGCCATTTCCTTAGCCCGGAATCTCAGGAAAATGCTCAACTCTTTGGCAGACTAATTCAAGAAATTCATCATGAATTTGGTGGAGCAGAAAATTGTCCATGGTCACCTGTTGTTTTGAAAGGTTGATAAATTTTGCTGATATTTGCTCGTTCAATTAATTAACCTTGAAATTTTGTAATCTAAGATCAAGTAAAATGTATACTGTTTATTAAGTCTAGGACTCGAAGGCCCTGTTCGGCTACCATACATCACATTGTGTAAATAAATAAAATGTGAAAAATCGTATACTGTACGTATAAATGGGACTTCAATGATCTGGTTTCTTGCACTTCACTTGGTGGTATTAATATTTGAATGCTGTTCTTAGGGTTTGTAATCCAAGTGAGTATATATATTTATATATATACATGTGTATATACAAGTGAGTATATACAAGTGAGTATATATAGTATGTATATATGTATGTAATCCAAGTGAGTATATATATACATATAGTCCACCTTATCACAACCCGCACACCCGATCACCTATATATACATGAACTTACGGTTACAGCTCAACAGCTGGCCTCTGTAGCTCAGTTGGTTAGAGCGCTGCACCGGAATCGCAGGGCTGTAGGTTCAATTCCTACCAGAGGACCTTGTGCTGCATTTTTCGCAGTCGCTCCTGGTCAGGTCTTAAAATGTATATATATACTCACTTGGATTACAAACCCTAAGAACAGCATTCAAATATTAATACCACCAAGTGAAGTGCAAGAGACCAGATCATTGAAGTCCACCTTATCACAACCCGCACACCCGATCACCTATATATACATGAACTTATGGTTACAGCTCAACAGCTGGCCTCTGTAGCTCAGTTGGTTAGAGCGCTGCACCGGAATCGCAGGGCCGTAGGGTTCAATTCCTACCAGAGGACCTTCTGCTGCATTTTTCGCAGTCGTTCCTGGTCAGGTCTTAAAATGTATATATATACTCACTTGGATTACAAACCCTAAGAACAGCATTCAAATGTACGTATAAATCCCTATTTGTCATAGGTGATAAATTACTGAAACGTAACATTTCAAACAAAAGCAAACGTGTGAAAAGGTTTGCAATGTATGCTTGAATGTAAATAGTATAGTTATAGTTAATTTATTGTACGATCATCGAGATTAAAATTTTTAATTGTTTCTGACGTTTCGGCTACAGTACATATATATATATATATATATACATATATATATATATATATATATACGACAGCCATTATCAAAGACGTATTACAAAAATTACAGAAACGTCAGAAACAATTAAAAAATTTTAATCTGGATGATCGTACAATAAATTAAATTAGTGGAAGAACCTGGATTCATGCCCTTCACTTCAGTGAATAGTTATAGTCCATAATTGTACACTTGGGATCTGTACCATTAATGTACAGGTGAGGACACTGTCATCCATATTAACCAAACTACACTAAATACCAGTGTTTTAGGCAAAGAAGAAAAGTGAACACGGAAGCTGATAGTTTACATTTATTTTTATTTAGAAGCATTCAGGCGATACCATGTCTCATGTAAAGCTAAGCAAAAACGAGTTGCCAGTGGTAAAGACGAAGACCATAATCGTTCATGCAGAAGGAGAAGCCGAAAGGATGAGGTGAGTTTAATTGTGGTTTAATCAGCGTATAATGTTCTCACTTTCCTCTTTTGTCTAATTTATTGATGTCATTTAAGAAGAGAAAGGTTCAACAGGGGCAGGGCTGGAAATAGAAGCTCGATGCTTATTTTTCACGACGAGATTTCTTTGCACATTTAAAAGTGTAATATTCTGTAGACATATAGGCATAGCATAATATAAATTATGATTCATTATCTATGACAATGTTTATTGTTTTGTCAACGTTTGTATACAATTCCTATATAATATTACCTTCGTCGTCATGTTTGTATGGTTTAAGCCTACTTTCCATTTGGTCGTTAGTTGTCGCTGGCACAACAAGTGGTAGATGTAAATTCACATTTAATAACCTTTAAGAAACAAACTTTTTTGGTATTAAACTTGTCTTTAATCAACAATAATACTGGTGTTAAATGTGATTAAATACGTACTTAAGCAGCTTTAATGCGCCTTTAATTAGGAAAATTAAGGGCATATTTAATAACATTTAATCGATTTTAGTATCACGTTACTAAAATCGTCGTTAATACACTTAATGTAGCAAACTAAAGGTGATAAAAGAAACATTTAGTAACTTTAATAATTCGCATTAAGTGCAATTAAACTCGAATAAAATACGCATTTAATACTACTTTAATAGCATATTAAAGACGCGCTTTTCGTCCTGTGACAAAGAGTATTTTACACATATAGCCGTTCCGCAAATGACGAAAAGTTCAAGGGATATTCAAGATTTTGTGGATATGAAATTTAGAATCTTTGGTCAAGCGGTGAGTAAATATATGATTGTTTCGGTTTGTGTAATGTTTTGACGGCACTTGACCCCCCGTTCAAAAGGTTATTTTGTGAGGATTTCAATGGTGGGTTTTATTTAAAAGGGGGGTCAATACTCGCCGAGATATTTATACTAGAACGATGGGTCGTAATATGATGCGAATGGCTTGTGACCGAAAAGAGTTAATAGTCCTATCGTCAATGTACATGTTCTTAATGACATTCCATAGCACACTCAGGCAGTCAAGCCCATATGGCACAACCCTCACAAACACCTTGTATTGTTGTACAAAAACCGTGTTTAGTTGTATATGCGCGACACACAAGAACGAAATTCTTGGTGCTACCATCTTGAAACTGAGAGGAGATTTAGTAAATATACAATTTTTCGCTTTGCCTTTAATTATTAAATTTCGTTCGTTACTCAGCACTTTCCATTGGTGAATCCAATTATTCCAATGTACGCCATCTTCACAAAGCATGGTCCAAAACACGGCCGATTTCCACATAGGAAGCAAACATGCATGTAAATGTCGAATTACTCGTGGGATCAGGACAGTCGGAGGAAAAAGCCAATTGTTATTAAAACCCCAATTCTGTGTAAAAGTATCCACTGCTTCTGTGCCTATCTGGTAAAATCGGGAATTAAATCTTGGAAGTTTGGCGTTATAAGTACAAGCAAACCTGTCCACTGTATAAGGGCCCCATAACTTATCGAATTCTGTAAAGACAAAGTCGTTAATTGTATAGTCGTCATAATCTAGAATGTGACCTATAGAATCCGCTTGGATATTAAATTCTCTAGGGACCCATTTGACCTCCAAATGAATATGCGATGCTAAACATACTTCAAACAAATGTAACGCCATGGTATGCAATTCTGAATTTCTACTCCCTTTAGATACTATGGAGACAACGTTCTGATTATCAGTAAACCAAGCGATTGTTCGATTGTGAATATTAAGTGTAAATGCATCTAAGGCTAAAAGAACTGTTCTTAACTCCCACCAGGTTGAACTCTTACTTTGCTCTTCTTCTGTCCAGTTGCTGTGAAATACTTTCTCATCTATGTTTAGAATTGCTCCGCATGCACGATCAGAGGCATCTGAATAGACAACCTTCGACGGAATTTCGTTATCTTGCCAAATTTGTTCACTATTTAAATGCAAAACATTATGAAACCAGAATTCAAGTTCCGATGTGGTCATGCGATCCAACAAAACGTTGTGCTGCCAGGAAAAAGTGCTATTTATTAGCCTGTATGCTGACCGAGTCATAAGCCTGACCACATTCCCGGCTGCCATTTCTAGAGAAATTATCTGTCCTACTACGGAAGACAAATCTTTAACGTGAATAAAGCCTAGGTTCGTCTCAAGTATTTCGTCAAGTGCGGCTTTGAGTTTTTTAATTCGCTTGTCCGTAGCCTGTATAATATTGTCTTTTGTATTAATTGAACACCCTAACCAGGTCACCAATTGAACCTCTCTTCATTCACTATGAATCCTGCCTTCAATAAGTCTGAATGCACTAATAAACTATGACGTTTGGCTACTAAAGGAGTCCTTCCTGCCCCAAACCGTCATCAAGATACACCGCAATTGAGATGCCCTTATTTCTCCAAAATTTTGTCAAAGGTTTCAAAAGCTTGGTAAATATAAATGGCGCTGAAGAGAGGCCAAATGGTAAAACACAAAATTGAAAATATCTGAACTCCGAGTCGTCAAAATCCCATGCAAACGATAGATATTGTCGATGTTCCTCATATATTTCAACATGATGATATGCTGACTTCAAGTCAAATTTGAGCATATAGTATTCTTTATCAATACGCTGAATAAAAATCTTAATATCTTCACATTTAAATTTCTGTTTGTAGACACATTGATTGACATGTCTATAGACCAGGCGGAGAAGGGGGGAATAGTCCCCCGACGGGGAAATTTATGAAACGAAGTGAACTTGGTCAATTTTGGGGTGCTGAATTCGAAAATCGTTGGTATACAGGCCGTGGACTTCAGCCTCGTTTTCGCGTTTAAAGCCTCGTTTTGATGCGAAAACGTTATCCGCTCGATTGAAGCGAAAACAATGAATAATTTGTTTAATATACGCACTTTTAGGTATTTCTAGGTGCAGAATTCGAAAATTGATTGCATTCGGACGATAAACTGGGCCATCTGCCTCGTTTCCGAGATTTATAGCTGCGTTTTTACGCTTTGAAACCACGTTTTCCGATTTTAGTTACTATACATATTTAAACTACATTTTATTTAATCGCTTTAAAAACCTGTAAACATGTTAATGCTCATCATCCTCCATATCATCGTCGATGTCATCTCCAATATAACTATTTTGCTCGAAATCAAACTCGTCACTTTCTTCTTCTCTGTCAATTAACATTTCGCTAACGTCATCGGGGTAAGCAACACTGTCCCAGATAACTTTTCCATCTTCTTTCCAGCCATGACATGTTTGGTCATCAAGATCGAGGATCAAGTTTTTAGCATTCCTGAAAATGAATGCAACATAATTTGCACGCATTATGTGAAACTTGAGGTTGGTTGCACAAGGTGGCACAAGGTGGCAAAAGGCTAAGATCAACGACTTTCTTCTCTTTCGTAAATTTTTGGACAAACATCTTATGTCGAAGTTTGTTCACCGAAGACATCACCTTGTTACCGTATAATGCACAAACGAACCTTTCTAAGCCCTCTGAAAGATGGTCAGGAACTTGAAGAGAGCTGCCTAGCTCAGCAAAGAAACTAATAAATTCTTGGCTTTTCAGCATCGCTTTCCAAACAGCCATCTTCCCTTTCCTGAAGAAACTTGAAACGTAGTCGTTACCAGAAAACGTGTGCAAACCAATCAGAGCCTTTCTTTTCTCATGATCTAATGTTAACGACGTCACATCTATAATTTTTCTAGCTTTTCCAGTCCCGTTGTCGATTAGGATTTTAGCGGCACAAAAATCATGCGCCACAAACAGGGCAAGAATATCGATATCTCCAGAAGGTGATCAA